GATCACAATATAGTGGCTTTATCCAGGAAAGCCAAAGTTCCAAAAGCTGGGCCTAAAATAGTGTATAAGAGATCATACAAAAGATTTTGCTGTGACTCTTATGTGGATGATATTAAAAATATTTGTTGGTCTGATGTGATTAAAAAGGAGCATCCAGACGCTGCACTTCATGAATTTATTAAATTGCTTCTTCCAATTATTGATAAACATGCACCTGTTAAGAAACTGACTGTTAGAACTGTTAAGGCTCCATGGATTGATGAGGAATTGAAAACATTTATGGTTTAAAGAGATGGGGCAAAAGGAGTGGCTAATAAGTCTGGCTGCACATCTGGCTGGCTGACTTACTGCAAATTGAGAAATTACGTGACTAAACTCAACAAAAAGGAGAAGAAACTGTATTATGAAGCCAAGATAAATGATATAAAGAATGATGGAAAAAAACTTTGGAGTACTTTAAATGAAATTATGATCAGAAAGACAAATTCAACTCCATCTTTCATAGAATCAGATGGCTTATTCATCACAAAACCATTTGATGTTGCCAATTATTTGAATGATTACTTCATTGACAAAGTGGGCAAACTAAGGCAGGAAATGCCAACAAAGAACAGTGAGCCATCGTATTCATGCATAAAAAACTAAATAATGAAAGAAAAGCATTGCAAGTTTGAATTTTGTAAAGTTAGTGAGAGAGAGGTGGAAAAATTATTGTTGTCGATCAGTAATGTCAAACCTCCTGGCATTGACAACTTAGATGGAATGCTACTGAGGATGGTAGCTGACTCTATAGCCACCCTATCTGTCATATCTTTAATCTGAGCCTAGAGGAAAGTCTTTGTCCTCAGGCCTGGAGGGAAGCAAAAGTAATTCCGCTACCCAAGAGTGGCAAAGCGGCCTTTACTGGTTCTAACAGCAGACCTATCAGTTTGCTGCCAGCTCTTAGCAAACTGTTGGAAAAAATGGTGTTTGACCAAATACAATGCTATTTCTCTGTAAACAAATTAACAACAGACTTTCAGCATGCTTATAGAGAAGGGCACTAAACATGTACTGCACTTACACAAATGACTGATGATTGGCTGAGAGAAATTGATGATAAAAAGATTGTGGGGGTTATTTTGTTAGACTTCAGTGCGGCTTTTGACATTATCGATTATAGTCTGCTGCTGGAAAAACGTATGTGTTATGGCTTTACACCCCCTGCTATATTGTGTATAAAGAGTTACCTGTCTAACAGAACACAGAGGGTGTTCTTTAATGGAAGCCTCTCCAACATAATCCCCTTTTTTCAATCTTTACTAACGACATGCCACTGGCTTTGAGTAAAGCCAGTGTGTCTATGTATGCAGATGACTCAACACTATACACGTCAGCTACTACAGCAACTGAAATGACTGCAACATTTAACAAAGAACTGCAGTTAGTTTCAGAATGGGTGGCAAGGAATAAGTTAGTCCTACATATTTTACAAAGCTAAAAGCATTGTATTTGGGACAAATCATTCACTAAACCCTAAACCTCAACTACATCTATATGTAGTATTAAATAATGTGGAAATTGAGCAAGTTGAGGTTACTAAACTGCTTGGAGTAACCCTGGATTGTAAACTGTCATGGTCAAAACATATTGATACAACAGTAGCTAAAATGGGGAGAAGTCTGTCTATAATAAAGCGCTGTTCTAACTTCTTAACAGCACTATCAACAAGGCAGGTCCTACAGGCTCTAGTTTTGTCGCACCTGGACTACTGTTCAGTCGTTTGGTCAAAGAGGACATAGGAAAATTGTAATTGGCTCAGAACAGGACAGCACGGCTGGCCCTTGGATGTACACAGAGAGCAATCTCTCCTGGCTCAAAGTAGGCTCACTACTTGTATTTGTGAGAGGTATTGACATGTTGAAAGCACGAGCTGTCTGTTTAAATTACTAGCACACAGCTCAGACACCCATGCATACCCCACCAGAGGTCTCTTCACAGTCCCCAAGTCCAGCACAGACTATGGGAGGCGCACAGTACTACATAGAGTCAGAATCTGCAACACCACTAAGCAAGGGGCACCACCAAGCAAGCGGCACCATGAAGACCAAGGAGCTCTCCAAACAGGTCAGGGACAAAGTTGTGGAGAAGTACAGATCAGGGTTGGGTTATAAACAAATATCTGAAACTTTTAACATCCCTTGGAGCACCATTAAATCCATTATTTAAAAAATGGAAAGAATATGGCACAACAACAAACCTGCCAAGAGGTGAGGCAACAAAGAGACCAAAGATAACCCTGAAGGAGCTACAAAGCTCCACAGCGGAGATTGGAGTATCTGTCCATAGGACCACTTTATGCCTACACTCCACAGAGATGGGCTTTATGGAAGAGTGGCCAGAAAAAAGCCATTGCTTAAAGAAAAAAATAAGCAAACACGTTTGGTGTTCGCCAAAAGGCATGTTGGAGACTCTCCAAACATATGGATGAAGGTACTCTGGTCAGATGAGACTAAAATTGACCTTTTTGGCCATCAAGGAAAACGCTATGTCTGGCGCAAACCCAACACCTCTCATCATCCCGAGAACACCATCCCCACAGTAAAGAATGGTGGTGCCAGCATCATGCTGTGGGATGTTTTTCATCGGCAGGGACTGGGAAACTGGTCAGAATTGAAGGAATGATGGATGGCGCTAAATACAGGGAAATTCTTGAGGGAAACCTGTTTCAGTCTTCCAGAGATTTGAGACTGAGACTGAGGTTCACCTTCCAGCAGGACAATGACCCTAAGCATACTGCTAAAGCAACACTTGAGTGGTTTAAGGGGAAACATTTAAATGTATTGGAATGGCCTAGTCAAAGCCCAGACCTCAATCCAATTGAGAATCTGTGGTATGACTTAAAGATTGCCGTACACCAGTGGAACCCATCCAATTTGAAGGAGCAGGAGCAGTTTTGCCTTGAAGAATGGGCAGCTGTAATTGCTGCAAAAGGTGGCTCTACAAAGTATTGACTCTGGGGGGTGAATAGTTATGCACACTCAAGTTTTCTTGTTTTTTTTGTCTTATTTCTTGTTTGTTTCACAAACCCCTCAAAAATCCATTTTAATTCCAGGTTGTAAGGCAACAAAATAGGAAAAATGCCAAGGGGGGTGAATACTTTCGCAAGCCACTGTATGTGGTAGTGGAGTATGGGCCTGAGGGCACACACTTAGTGTGTTGTGAATTCTGTAATGTTGAGACTAATTTACTTGGCGTTACCTTAGATTGTAAACTGTCATGGTCAAAACATGTAGATTCAATGGTTGTGAAGATGGGGAGAGGTCTGTCCGTAATAAAGAGATGCTCTGCTTTTTTGACACCACACTCCAAAAAGTCCTGCAGGCTCTAGTTTAGTCTTATCTTGATTATTGTCCAGTCGTGTGGTCGAGTACTGCAAGGAAAGACCTAGTTAAGCTGCAGCTGGCCCAGAACAGAGCGGCACGTCTTGCTCTTCATTGTAATCAGAGGGCTGATATAAATACTATGCATGCCAGTCTCTCTTGGCTAAGAGTTGAGGAGAGACTGACTGCATCACTTCTTCTTTTTATAAGAAACATGAATGTGTTGAAAATCCCACATTGTTTGCATAGTCAACTTACACACAGCTCTGACACACACACTTACCCCACCAGACATGCCACCAGGGGTCTTTTCAGTCCCCAAATCCAGAACAAATTCAAGAAAGTGTACAGTATATATAGTACCATTATTGCATGGAACTCTGTTCAATCTCATATTGCTCAAATGAACAACACACCTGGTTTCAAAAAACAGATAAAGCAACACCTCACAACGCCTCCCCCCAATTTGACTTAGATAGTTTGTGTGTATGTATTGATATGTAGGTTACGTGTGCCTTTTAAAAAATTTATAATAATTGATGTAGTTCTGTCCTTGAGCTGTTCTTGTCTATTAATGTTCTGTATTTTGTCATGTTTTGTGTGGACCCCAGGAAGAGTAGCTGCTGCTTTTGCAACATGTAATGGGAATCCTAATAAAATACCAAATATGTTGGCTAAGCCTTATTAGCGTAAAATAAATATGCTGTAGGCTATGCAGAGCCGTGGTCGGGTCCATTCGGGTCGATCAGCTGTAGTTACATAGACCCGAGAACCGATGACAATCAAACAGGACCGGACCCGGACCCGAGGGAAAAGTTAGAATGTTGGACAAGGTCCCGCTCAAGTCCCAGTTATTCGGGTGGACCCGTAAAGACCTCTACTCTGCAGTCATTCTGTCAGTGTGTTTAGGAACATTCATCACGTCAACTGGCAGCTACAGACACATTTATTTTCCTCCACAAGTTACCTCCATCCTCTCAGGAAAACAAAACAAAAACTGGATATGCATACATCAGCCCAATACATTACAGTGCATGAGGGTAAATTTATAAATCCACAAATCCCTAAAACAGGTACCTAGGAGGACAGTGCAGCCCTTGCCATTCAGTCAGATACTGTATGCCTTCCAAAATAAAGCATGCATCAGGTGTCTGCTGTGAGTAGGGTTGCAAAGCTACCGGTAATTTACCAAAGTTACCAGAACTTTGTAATTGTGTTAATTAACAGTTAATCTCTGGTATCTTTTTTTTTTATATGATAAGGCCACACAGAGGGCCAGCGATAATTAGACACCTGTGATAATCTGAAGTAACCTAAAAAGGCCACTAGATGTCATGCGATAGAATCCCCCCCAAAAACGTAAAAGTTACCCAAATTCTGGTAGTTTACTGGTAAACGTAAAAAGTTACCAGTAATAAACCCTCCCTTTGCAACCCTACCTGTGAAGCACTGTGAAGTCTAGCTCCCTCCTGTGGTCTTTTTAGACACACACAAACACACACAGGGAGTGGAGCGATGCTGCCCTCTGCTGGATCATAAACGTAGAGGCAGTTGTTCTAAATGTGTTTTATGGAAATAACCTATAACCCGTTTTAACCACAATTTCAACAGAAGCAACAATGTATGCAATATAATAAACAACTTTATTTAGGTACAGAATAAAAAACACTTGTTCATTACCTGATGCAAAATGCTTTGCTATGCTGTGAATCAGAATCATCTTTATTCACCATAGACATTTTAATGTACAGGAATTTGACTCAGAAAAATCGTACTGCTACAAATGTTTTGGTATGCTGTGCCCTACAGAACACAACCTTGTATTGGTTTTATGTTTGCGACATTAGGATAGACAAGTATAATAGTAATAAAAGCATCACGCTAGAAGAGTAGTGTTAATAATCAGTGTTTAGTGGACATAGAGGCTGGGGTTGGCTATAAAGTCATTGATCTTCTGGGCTGTGTGGTCTAACTCTGTGGTGTTACTGTACTTCAGCAGGTTGTAGGAGCGGACAAAGTAGTGTCTCAGGTAGCGTTGGCTCACACACTTCAACAGCTTCCTGGCTACACGCAGCACACACTCCTTTATACAGTGCCAGTCACGCCCACATGGAAACTTCTCACAGCACCAGAACAACAGAGTCTGCAGAGGGAGAGAGGGGGGGACAGAGAGACACAGAGAGAGATGACTATGTACACCACAAATATATAATATAACTTCTGAACATCTGAAAGGGTGAGAGTTGATTGGTTAACTGAGGCTGTATGATGAGGAGGGGGCAGTCCTTTGGCAGAGACGCTGTGTTGTGATTGGGTACCTGCAGGTGGAAGGCTGTGATGACAGGCTTGGTGCCGGGACACCAGGCGTCCTCCTTCAGCTGTCTGACAACACGGTAACACTTCCTACGGCAACCACCGTCCTCGTCAACGCCCACTAGCAACGCCTGCTCCGCCCGAGAGAACGACAACAGCCAGTGGTAGTTAGACGTTGCCATGAGGTTAAACCCAAACGACTAGAGAGAGGGAGAGATAGAGAGAAAGTAAGTTAGGGTGTAGAATGTTATAGGGGTTAGAAAGCATGATTCCCAGCTGAGACCTTGATGCAGCGAGCTCTCTCTGTGGTTGGCCAGCGCTGCAGAAGGCGGGGCCAGCGGGCCTTCTTCGGCCAATAGTTGATCAGCTCCACTGTGGGAACAAGTTCTGCCTCCATCACACCCTCCGCCGTCTCTATGGCAACACGCACTACAGAACCCACAGACTCCAAGATGCTGACCTTACCTGCGCGCACACACACACACACACACACACACAGGATCAGGTTAGAATGTGTGCGTGTGCACTTTTGCTACGAGGGAAGCCTTTGACCTCAGTGTCCGTGTGGCCTGGTCAGTATATAGATTTTACTCTGGCCCAACACCTATCATTAACACTGTGGCCAGTGTGTGTGTGTGTGTGTGTGTGAGTGTATGTTGCTTGTGGCGGTAGAGGTATTCGATGTGACTGAAAGCTTTTCCAGTGTGTGGGAGGTCTGATCAGTCTAATGCCCGGCCTGCCCTGCCCCATTCCGTCCCGTCCCGCCACACACTCACCACTGAAGCTGCATGTCAGTATGGCGGTCTCTAGTTGTTCTCTGAAGAGACTGACCACCTTGGCCGGTACAATGTCTCCCTCCACACACACTTTGGCATCCTGTAAAACAGTGGTCACCAACCTTAGAGTGAAGATCACTTTCTCAGTCAAAAAGCAAACTGAGATCTACTGCTCAGATTTTAAACAAGCCTATGCAACATTAACCTAATAAAAAGTTTGGTAGGAATGAGGTTTGTGCAGTAGGCCTAATACATCATCACAGCATATTGGCTATATGCTTGGCCTGCCAATATTGATCTTCTCAGACCATATTATATTTCAAAACTCGAGCTTTGATAAGAAAATAGATCAGTTGGTATATCACTTGCGAGGAACAACTGAGCATAAATTGAAATAATTTGCTTTTTTATATGACTGGACTGATTGTACCTGCATCTGATGGTCAGTCTCAGCAGAGAGAGGGAGGGAGAGAGCAGCAGAGGGTCCGCCTCTCAAGGTCCATGCTCTTTCCTTTCCTCTAGTGAGACTGACCAGAGAAAGGGGAACACCGTCTTCCACCTGATTGGGAAACTCGAGTCGCACCGCATCTGCCTCATGCACAAATTCATGTTGTTCCTATGACCAGAACATATGAAAAATTCCTCGATATTAAAATAGACATGACGAACTGCTAATTATAAAAATGCAGCACATTCGATACACTCGGCTACTCATTCATTGCAGCTGCAGTGCGAGAGGAAGTAGGGAGAAGCAGGTTTTATGTTTTGTAAAAGTGTTGAATAAAAACTTAAACATTAACTCACTCATAAAAACAGCAGCTCTTTGATGTGTTCTTCGACAGTCTCTCTCTGGTCATAGATTTAAAAGTTACAAAATCTGACGTAGGCTAGTATGAAACTTTGCTGTGAGGTCGTCAGGTAGGCGGGGTTTGTCCCTTCAGACAAATGAAATGGTTCAAAATGGGAACACTTTGCCTACCCACTGCGCAGGGCTTCTGAATCAAGTGCATCTACCACCAACCGCGCAAGACAAATAATTGTATTTAAAAAGGAGTGCAAGCCTTTGTCGTTGGCTTTTCTACAGAAATGTTTGGTGATCGACTAGGAATACCTTGAAGATCGACTAGTGACCACTGCTGTAAAAGACATACACACACACACACAAAATATTGCATTATTTAAGAATATTTAGAACATTTAACTGGCTAACTATTTGCACTGCTCTATGACGTCCCACCTGCCAGTCCTGGGCGGGGCTTGTGAAGCTATCCAGCTCCAGCCATTGGTGGAGTTTCTCTGGCTCGCGGACAGGAGTGGGGAGAATGGAGCCAGTCAGAGAATAGTATCTCCACTGACGAGTCACATGCTCATGATATCCAATCAACCCCCTCACCGGAACACTCACCAAAACCAGGCTGGGAGTCAGGACCTACACACAAATGCACATACAACCATCAGATCCCTCACAGACACACACAGAATATTAATACACCGAGCACAGTGGGCCTTACCTGGATGGCTGGGTTGAAGGAACATCTGCCTCTCAGGAGGGCTGCCCATTTAGACACCATGGCAGGCTGGTCCTGTACACACACACACTGAGCTGGGATCCCATAATTCTGTAGATTGACAGACATACTGAATACCCATCTGTGTAAGAAATGAAAGTCGTTGTGTTACCTTGAGGTTCTCGTTGTTGACTCCAGCGTGGGCGATGGACTGGAAGCGTCCGTCTTTCTTGCTGACCTCATCGGTCAGATCTCTGACCACCATCAGAACCTCCTCAACACGCCTGCCGACTGTACGGTGCCGCAGGTCCACCTAACACACAACCACAATTCCACACATACATGATAATCAACACGATAACCACGACACACACTACGTAGCAGCATATGATCCTCACTTGATTCAGTAGGTAGTGGTCCAGCCCTTCCTCAGAAAAGTCTGGCATTTTCTCTCTTTCTACTTTTCAACTGAAACCAGTTCAGCTCTGATCTCTCCACCAGAACTCAGCGGATAGACTAAGGAGTGTGTGACCCCTTTTCCTAGCACTATGGTCAGGCTGTCAAAAACATTCCACCATCGATCTCCCATCATTGATTTCCGATGCTAAAGAGCTCCCATGAGCCTTTGGGCCACCATGGTCCAAACAACATGATCATAGCTGGCACAGCTCTGAACGTGCAGTCTGAAAAGCCCAAATAAGGGACAGTAACAATCAACAGTGGGATCTTTAGGACCCAGCAAAGTGCCAGGCAGCAGGAGCTCCAGTGCCTCAGGACCCATTAGCAGTAGATCCCTGGCTGAGGTCAATAGGGTTCTGTCCATGTGGAATGAATGGGAGAGAGGTTAAACTTAGTCACACGGCTCATAGCTAGTCATATAGCTGTAAGAGGCCAGAGAGAAGTCTCACCTGGTGTCCCAGGTCTGATCCAGTCTCTGATTAGAATGAAATAATATACATCATCAGTACTTCTATTAAGAATCTGAAAAAACGGGACATTAACGGCTCCTACATAAAGAACACAAGACAGGTAATTTTCTGGTTTCCTTTAATAATCGTCAATACATTATGTACAAAGCCAGCCAAATAATATCCTACTGACCAAGGAAATCCTAAAATGTATTTTAAGTCATTAAAATAGCTAAAGATTACATTAGGAATTTAACAGAAAAACACCAGAGAAATACTAGAAGTGACAAAACATTAAGAGTGGATCCTCCAAAGCCCTGATCAGTTTGTCTTCTCAATGGAGACACCTGGTCGGTCTGCCCGTCACTACAGACACAGCTGACCATCATATTACTGAAATCTGTGTGTGCGAGCGCCGAGGGCAGTCCTAGCAGTTCACTCAATTACAGGTTAAAATGTCACTAAAGGAACCGTGAGCTGGTAATTTAATCACTGAACACAAAAAATAAACAGAAAAGTTTAACATTAGAAAGGGTCGACAAAACTTTGAAAGTGTGTTCCTTCTTTCATTTATCTTCAGTCATTGTCCAGAGCTCTGTCTGACCAATGTGTAGAAGCTAGGAGTAACCACACTGTACACTCCAATCTGTCATCACTAGCATCCATAGCCTCAAAGTCATAATTATGGCTAAACCCCACCCATTTATACAATTGATCTTCGTAAAATGTTAACTGAAACCTATTCCTAACCTTAACCACACTGCTAACCTTATGCCTAACCCTAAATGAAGACCAAAAAGCTAATTCTTGTAGCCAATTTTGACTTTGTAGCTGTGGAATCTGACTGGGGCTTTGGAAGCTAGTGGAAACCCAGACAGCTAGAGCACTGATGCTGGGGGAGGGAATGATTGTCCAGGGAAAAGGGGCTGGCAGTATCTGATACTGTTCCTTCTCTGTAACCACAACAACCCGCACTTCAGTCCGCCGGTGATGTTTCTATGGGGAGCCTCTCGCCTCATGTGATGCGCCCCAAATAGAAGTTACTGCAGAAGAGAGAAAAGTCAAAGTTACAATGTCATCACTGTACTCTTCATCATGCCACGAATGTGTGTGAATGTTAGGATGAAGGTTGTGAGTTCTTACACTGAGGAAGCTCTTGCCGCGAGGCTTCCTGTCCTCATCCTCGTCATCAGACACGTGTGGCTTCGCTATGGCCATCTCCTCTTTACTCGCTGCGATCATCTTACATTTCTAAACACATATACACACACATAGATTGATTTTTAAAACATACACAAATCATTGTAAAGTGAACAGTCAGAGTAATACAAGAGAACGCCCCAAACAACACAGTAGTCTTGTATTTCTAACCTCAAATACACAACTACATAAAACAAAGACTAGGTGTCTGAGCTAAAGTTTGATGCTTGCTGTAATCCATATGGGGAGTCTACAGTTTGATGCTTGCAGGAATCCATATGGGGGGGGGGGTCTACATCCACAATGCATTAAGTAGATCTTTGTTATTACATACATTGCAAGTGAAGTCTCTTGTATTTCTTACCTCAGTGAGCTCCTTGATGCTGTAGATGTTGGCCTGCTGAGTCACCTTCCTCTTCACCTCCTCTATGTGGTCCAGGTTGAGGGGGGGAAGGGTTGTTTGGGGAGCCTGGCTAGGAGGGGGCTTGTTGGTGATGGTGGGGAGGGGGGCCATCTGGGGCTTGTTGGTGATGGTGGGGAGGGGGGCCATCTGGGGCATGTTTGACATCTGGGCCATGTTGGTGAGGGCTGCAGTCATGGTGGCAGCTGTCATACTGGCCATGGCAGCACTCATGGCCATATTGGACATATTGCCCATATTGGACATATTAATATTGGACATATTAATATTGGGCATATTCATATTGGGCATATTCATATTGGGCATATGCATGTTCATGTTGGGCATGTTCATGTTGGGCATGTTCATGTTGGGCATGTTCATGTTGGGCATGTTCATGTTGGGCATGTGCATGTTGGGCATGTGCATGTTGGGCATGTGCATGTTGTGCATGTTGGGCATATTGGGCATGCCCATGCCGGGCATGTTGAGAGGCAACGGCAGGGGAAGAGGCAGATTCAGGGGAGTTGGGGCTGGGTTGGGCAGGGGCAGCTGGAGGATGGCCTTGGGTCTCAGACTCTCTGGGATGGGCACACCTGCTTTAGCACACATGGCTGCTGCATTGGCCTTCGCTATCTCCAGGAGCTGGTCTTTGTCTGTGAATAGAGAAAGGAGAGAGGAAAGAGAAAGGAGGGAACAGACATCTGTCAACAGTGGAATTTCGGACGACATCCTCACACCTAATCTGTTCTAAGGTGCCTAGAACAGCCACCATTAAACTGAGGGTACTAAACAATAACAGTACATTGGATATTATACCCAGGGTTGGGTAGTAACTGATTACATGTAACTTGGATTACGTAATCTGATTACAAAAATGAAGTAACTAATCAATTCGGATTAATTTTGAAAAGCGTGTAATCGGATTACAGTTACATTCTTAAAAAAGAGCTGATTACTTTTGGGATTATGTCATCTAATATCAAGAGGAAAATTTGATAAAACTGTCATCATCGCTGTCATTTAGCACAACATCAAGACTTCTCACATGCTCTCAGAGATTCTATTGATCGCCCATCAAGGGTGGATGGCTTCCTTTTTGATTGAATTAATAGATAAGGCTTCCAAAACATTTACAACTGGCCCACTGGTCAATCACACAGTCATCTGGACCAGAGTTTCCCAAAATCGGTCCTGGGGCACCCCCTGGGTGCACATTTTAGTTTTTGCTCTAGCACTACACACAGCTCAACCAAATAACCAACTCATCATCAAGCTTTGATTATTTCAATCAGCTGTGTAGTGCTAGGGCAAAAACCTGGACTAGAGTTCCTGATTGCTGCTTTGAAACAGTGCAGTTTCACTCTCTCCCTCGTGAAATGCTTTCTGATTGCACAATATAAAAAAATGTAGGTCTAATCGAGGGGAAAACACAGTATTGACAGCACCGTTGTTAATGTTGAAGAGAAAAGGGTCCCAGATTTCTAGTCTGAATTGTATTTAATATTGAACAAAGGGCACTCACGCCGGCCATTCAAGGTGGGTTCCTAGATCTATGCATTAAATGTACTGTTATACAGCCCCTTCAGAAAGTATTTACAACTCGACTTTTTCCACAAAGTGGGATTTAAATGGATTTAATTGTCTTTTTTTTGGTCATCAATCTACACAAAATACGCTGTAATTTCAGTGGAAGAAAAATTATAACATTTGTAAAAAATAAATGTATGAAAAATAAAACACTAATATATCTTGATTAGATAAGCATTCAACCTCCAGAGTCAATACATGTTAGAATCACCTTTGGCAGCTATTATAGTTGTGAGTCTTTCTGGGTAAATGTAAGAGTTTTGTACATCTGGACTGTAAAAAATGTGCACATTCTTTTTTAAATTCTTCAAGCTTTGGTTGGTTGTTGATCATTGCTAGACAGCCCTTTTCAAGTCTTGCCATAGATTTTCAAGCCAGAACTGTAACTAGGCCACTCAGGAACATTCAATGTCGCCTTGGTGAGCAACTCCAGTGTAGATTTGGCCTCGTGTTTTAGGTTATTGTCCTGCTGAAAGGTGAATTTGTCTCCCAGTGTCTGTTGGAAAGCAGACTGAACCAGGGTTTCCCTCTAGAATTTGCCTGTGCGTAGCTCTATTCCATTCCTTTTTATCCAAAACAGCGTCCTAGTCCTTGCCAATGACAAGCATAACCAGAACATGATGCAGCCACCACCATGCGTGAAAATATGAAGAGTGATACTCAGTGATGTGTTGGATTTGCCTCAAACATAACGCTTTGTATTCAGGACAAAGGTAATTTCTTTGCCACATTTTTTGCAGTTTTACTTTAGTGCCTTATCGCAAACTGGATACATGTTTTGGAATATTTTTATTCTGTAAAGGCTTCCTTCTTTTCACTCTGTCATTTAAGTTAGTATTGTGGAGTAACTACCATGTTGTTATTCCATCCTCTGTTCTACCACAGCCATTAAACTCTAACTGTTTTAAAGTCACCATTGGCCTCACTGACCACGTTTACATGCGCACCAATATCCTGTTATTATTCGGGATATTCAAGTATTCTGTTTTTGAGTTGACGCATATAAAAACGTCATTTCCCGTTTACATTTACATGTGTCATTTAGCAGACACTCTACTTTATAAGACGACGATCGAAACTGAAATGTTTTATATGGAGCCCTGTGACTATGCTCTTACACATAAAATAGAACATGTGAATTATAGGTTTTTTAAGCTATGCTCCCACACTAGTTCCCATTTGGAAATACTCATGTTACTAAATGAAAAAATGCTATATTAGATTTAACTTTTAACTTTTTTAAATATGTCTTGGTGTTTAGGGCGCTATTAAATCTGCGTTGTGGAAAACACGGACGGAATCCAGACATTAAAATGCATTGAACTTAGTAGGAAATCAACTAAATGTATTGAACTTATTCTAAAATTCATTTATTTGCCCAAGTTAATCATAAGACATTAACAAAATGTATCAGTGATTCGTATTATCCTGCAACTTTCTGAAATGGCACAGGAATGCACGTCTGTGTGTGTTGTGTGATGCGTGCATGTGTAGTCTACACTTTGTGTTGCCGTTAGCGATAATGCTAATGATAACAGTCTACTGGTAAATGGAAAGGCTTTCCCAAAAACCTTCTCAATTAAAATGTTAACTACAAAGTAGCCTATGCCTACCTGGCAGAATGATATGATTATTTGCATAAATCGAGTTATCATTTATTTAGCCAACTCTGCAATCACATGAGCACTACAGAAACACTGCTAACCAAACAATTGTCTCTGGCTGGTGCACTTGCATTAAAGGATAACTACACCCACAATGAAAACATTTCTAAAAAATGTCCCAGACCTCAAAAGTGGTCCCCTGATGTGGTTTAAGCATTGTTGTGGACTTAGAACCTCCAATTTAGATTTTTTTGTCTTTTACAAAATAAGTGTGATTTTGAGAGCAAAAACCTGAAAAAATGTAAACTTGGAAAAGCTAAACGAATACCAATTTTATAGGGCCCTAGGTGTTAGAAGTGAAAGTAATCCAAATGTAAATCGATTATGTTACTAATTTTGAGTAATCCAAATTATTACTTAATTTTTCATGCAACTAATTGGTAACGGATTACATGTTTCAATTAATCCACACAATACTGATTATACCATAGGTGTAGTGTAGTCTTACCCAGCTCAGTGAGACGAGGAGGGGTCTTGCTGGCACTGCGGCGGCCTCGAGATGTGGAACGGCGCTTGCGGAGGATGAGGATTGGCGAGTGGCTTGGTTCCCGTTTCCATCGGTCGCGTCGGTCAAACGAGCGATTCCGCATGACGGGCCGGCGCCGCCGCGACCCGGAGCGGGACCTTCTCCTCCGGCCTGGAGAACGAGACTTGGAGCGTTTGCTCCTGTCTGCTGACTTGGACCTCTTCCTTCTTGCCGGAGAGCGGGACTTTGAGCGCTTGGTCCTGGTTCTGGACTTGGAACGTGACTTCCTGCGCCGTGCCGGTGACTTAGAGCGTGATCTCCTGCGCCGGGCAGGACTTCTGGACTTAGACCTCTTCTTCCGTCTGGCAGGCGGGGAGACAGACTTCCTTTTTCTGGCTGGGGACTTGGAACGTCTCCTTCTGGAGGCAGACTTGGACTGAGAGGGAGAGATGGACTTGGACCGGGAGCGCCTCCGTGAGGGAGAGGTGGACATCTTCCTGCCGGCAGGTGATCGGGACTTCCTGGTAGGAGACGCTGACGTTGAGGACTGCCGTTGTTTTGGGGATGTCTTCTTAATGGGAGATTTAGAAGGTGAGGACCTGGAGCGGCGATCAGCAGGAACGGTCTCTGGTGAAACAGACCTGGAGGTAGCATGCTCATCTGGCTCTTCTTCAGAGGAGCTTGTTGGGCTTCTTTCCCCCTTTGGCTCTTCTGCTGCTGAGTCATGGTCTTCAGATGGAATCTCAGAGCTGCTCTCTTCAGCCTGCCCAGCCACTGGCTTGCCCTGTGTGGTAGATTTGGAGGCAGCAGCCAAAGCGAGGGGCTTCCAGGGCTCTGCTGCAGCTGCTGCTACAGCTTCCGCAACAGGCTTAGTAGACGCTTCATTATTCACAGTCGTGTCTGTAGTATGCTTGTCAGCCATTTTCTGAGACTTTATGTCCTTGGCAGTAGACCTGGATCTTGAGCGTTCTGGGGATACGCTCTCAGATTGCCTGTCGCTTGAGACAGACTTGGATTTGTCACTGATGGGCGATTTTGACATTGAACGCTTGTTTCTTTTCTGGGATTTGGATTTAGGAGTATGAGACTTGGACCGGTTACGTGGCGATAGTGATCGTGATGTTGATGGTTTACTGAGTCCTGGGGATCTGGACTTTGTCCTGCTCTGCTTCGGTGATCTAGAACGTATTTTCTTAACTGGTGACCTGGATATCCTGCGGCTCCTGGAGCGGGACTTGTTGTCCTTGCCCCGTGGGGATTTGGACCGTGAGCCTTTCCTGTTCCTCTTCAGGATCACGACGGAGCGGGAGCGAGTCCGCCTGCCTCTCCTGACCGGAGACCGGGACCGTCGTGTCCTTGGGGGGGACCTCTTCCTGCGAGACAGGGAGCTGCTCTGGGAACGCCGGCCTCTCCTCAGCGACCGGGAGCGATGGAGCCGTCTAGATCTAGAGCGTGAGCGGCAAGTCGGCCTCACAGGAGAGCGGGACCACGGACGTCTACCACGACGAGGAGGAGGGGTTCTGGTCCTCGACCTCCTGACAGAGCCACGTGGCCTGGACTCAGACCGCCGCCCTCGTCTGGGAGACGGAGACGGTTTGCGTCCTCTCCTAGGGGACAGAGGAGACGGTTTGCGTCCTCTCCTAGGGGACAGAGGAGATGACTTGCGTCCTCTCCTAGGGGACAGAGGAGATGACTTGCGTCCTCTCCTAGGGGACAGAGGAGATGACTTGCGTCCTCTCCTAGGGGACAGAGGAGATGACTTGCGTCCTCTCCTAGGGGACAGAGGAGAGGACTTGCGTCCTCTCCTAGGGGACAGAGGAGATGACTTGCGTCCTCTCCTAGGGGACAGAGGAGATGACTTGCGTCCTCTCCTAGGGGACAGAGGAGATGACTTGCGTCCTCTCCTAGGGGACAGAGACGGGGACAACTTGCGTCCTCTCCTAGGGGACAGAGACGGGGACAACTTGCGTCCTCTCCTAGGGGACAGAGAAGGGGACAACTTGCGTCCTCTCCTAGGGGACAGAGAAGGGGACAACTTGCGTCCTCTTCTAGGGGACAGAGAAGGGGACAACTTGCGTCCTCTTCTAGGGGACAAAGGAGACAACTTGCGTCCTCTTCTAGGGGACAAAGGAGACAACTTGCGTCCTCTTCTAGGGGACAAAGGAGACAACTTGCGTCCTCTTCTAGGGGACAAAGGAGACAACTTGCGTCCTCTTCTAGGAGACAAAGGAGACAATTTGCGTCTTCTTCTAGGGGACACAGAAGGAGACTTGCATCCTCTCCAAGGGGACAAAGGAGACTTGTGTCCTCTCCTGGGGGACAGAGAAGGAGACATACGTCGTCTCTTAGGGGACAGAGAAGGGGAATTATGTCCTCTCTTAGGGGACTTGCATCCTCTCTTGGGAGATAGAGAAGGGGACTTCCGTCCCCTCTTGGGGGACAGAGAAGGAGACTTGCGTCCTCTTCTGGGGGACAGAGAAGGAGACTTGCGTCCTCTTCTGGGGGACAGAGAAGGAGACTTGCGTCCTCTTCTGGGGGACAGAGAAGGAGACTTGCGTCCTCTTCTGGGGGACAGAGAAGGAGACTTGCGTCCTCTTCTGGGGGACAGAGAAGGAGACTTGCGTCCTCTTCTGGGGGACAGAGAAGGAGACTTGCGTCCTCTTCTGGGGGACAGAGAAGGAGACTTGCGTCCTCTTCTGGGGGACAGAGAAGGAGACTTGCGTCCTCTTCTGGGGGACAGAGAAGGAGACTTGCGTCCTCTTCTGGGGGACAGAGAAGGGGACTTGCATCCTCTCCTAGGGGACAAAGGAGATTTACGTCTTGTCCTTTTGGGGGACTTGGACTGCTTCCTCTTGGGAGTCATGCTTTTTGAGCCGGATCGAGACCTGCCCCTGCCAGACACAGGCTGACCAGACAATCGCGTGGGGCTTTGTGAACGACTGCGGCTTGATCTGGACTGCTTGGGGCTTGGTGAACGACTAAGACTTGATCTAGCGGTTTTAGTGTCTGTCAGCGACCGTGACCTTGACCTGGAGGGAGCCTGGTTCTTCACCTTTGACCTCTGCCCTGCGTTGGTTTCCTCCTTCTGGCCATCCTGCTTGGGGATGATGTCAGGAAGTTCCTGGGTGTGGCTGAAGCTCCCCTCGCTCCGTGGATCTTCTGCCTTTATGACAGAGACGGTTTGGTCCTCCCTGTTAGCAGGGGGCGCCTTCTCTTCTGCCTTCCCTCCTTCATCCACAGACTCATCATCTGAGGGTTGACACATCATTTTCAGAGATTCCTCTTTTTGGGCCAGAGTTTTGCATAGGGAGGGCACTCTCTCCACTTGCCTGGCCTTAGACGGCATGGGAACAGCCTGCACTACCATGCCAGCTGGCTTCCCCTCAGACTCAGAATCTGTCCCTGACATAGATTCGCTCTCTGATAGGGAGTGTGAAGAAGAGTTCTTCTCCTGCTTTTCTTCCCCTTTTCTCCTCCTTTTTCTCTTCTTTTTCCCAGCATGTCTTTTGTGTTTTCTGGCTTTAGCGTCACCTTCTACCTCAGGTTTATCTGTGTGGACAGGTACACAAGCATCAGTAACAAATCACTTCGCATCTGTTCCGTTTCCTACACCCTAACCACTACACCCCACCCCAGAGCCACACCCCTTACCTGTGATCAAGTCCTTTGTTGCCTCCTCTTTCGTGTCTGCTCCTGCATCAGAGGCCACTGGGCCAGCACTCCTCAAGCTAAAAACAGCAGCAAATATATTGATTATAGCAGCAAATATAATGAATACTATATTCACAATTGCCCAAACGGTATAGAGCCAAACAAACAAGAGCCTGTTGGCTGAACATTTCTGCTGCTTTATCTCCTAAATTCCAGTGTGGAAACCATCTAGAGGTGACCAAGCAACACCCTGTTCTGTCTATTCAGTACATACAAACGTAATAGAACATTCAATTGAACGGAAACGGTGCTGTACTGAACGTCAGTTAAAAAATGGGGAGGGGTTGGGTTGTGGCATCAAAATGCACCTCTTCCCTATAAATACATCAGTCATTGCTTCAAGCCACACCCACCAAACGGAGCAAACATACCACAGAGTCTGTTCAAGAAGTTTCGGGGAAATGTGTTGTTCAGTACAAGCCATTCCGCAACATAGCAAACGTTCAAGCGAACTGAACGCACCCCTGGTCTGGTTGTAATGGGCGGAATCTAGCAGAGTTATGGTTCTCATGGGACGAGTCAAACAATGTTCTGGTTCTAATGGGAGGAGCCTCACCCTGCTCTGGTTCTGATTGGCGGCTTTTCTACGTCGGACTCTGGGGCCGACTCTGAGCTGGTCTCTCGCTCTCCCTTGCCACGTTTCTTCTTCTTCTTCTTGCTCTTGTGTTTTTTGTGCTTCTTGTTCTTCTTCTGCGGCGTCGCACTTCCTTCCTTTGCAGACGTTTCCTCCAGAGTGTGCTCTCGCTCTACTGCCTCGTCCCCGCCTGCACAGATTAATCAATCACATTACTCATTTAAAGATTAGCCAACCACATTCTTTAGTCACAGATTAACCAATCACATTTCTTTGTTATGCTAGATTCGGAGTATGGGGAGTTCTCATCAGCAACGTGTGACATCAATTCTTAACGAAAGGGTGGCCAGGAAGAGGAATGGCAACCTCTGGTATGTGTGTCGTTGGCATATCATGATCTAGCCAATCCAGTATGAACCTCCAGCGGCATAGCTATAGCTAGTTTATGTTTGAGGTCGAGCCGATGGTCTATTTAAAGCACGGTAAAAAAAAAATCAACAAACATTTACTTGCGTATACTTCCTTAATTCTCAATTTGGAAGTATGCTGGTGAAATTGATAAGAATATCCCCAAAAATATTTTATCCACAAAAAGAGGGCTTAATATCTTTCTGAATATTTCCTTGTTTTTCAGAGTTCCACCAGCAACCAATAACAGGAGTTTATAAGTCGCTGGTACCTTCCAAATGATAATTAAGGAAGTATCAACAAGTAAAGGTCGGTTGAACATTTATTGGTCCATGAATTTCCCATAATTTCCCAAATGTAGGTATAACCCTATGTGAGAATAACCATCCTTCACATTACAGGGATGTTTCTGCAAATCATGATCACAAACCTGGCTGAGTGTCAACTGCACACTCCATTTTATCAGCTCTGTTGGGGTGAGTGATGGCCTAAAAACCGCTGGCCCTGGCACAGTCCACCGTTCACTTGGCCCCCTGTCACTATTTGGAAAAACAGAGCAGTTACTCCAGGGCACTCAACAAGTTGTTTCAGAATGTCAAGACAATACAGATTAATTACATTAACTACTAACGACGTTAACGTTAAACAAACAGCCATGAGTGTCCACAGGGTTACACTAAGTCTACGAACACAACAAAAATAAAAACACACTCTCTGCAGCAGCATTACATAACCAATGACCCACTTACAGAGACAGGCAACCGTTTTGTAATCGTCCATCTCAACTGGCAATAACACTTGATAGATAACCAGGCAGATCACTGGCTACGAATTAGCTTAGCTAACTACATAGCAACCAAAGTAGCTAAGTAACGTCACCTCGCTAGTGCTACCTAGTTAACTTCATATAGCTTGCGTAGCTCGCTAATGCTCACTAGTTATCAACGAGGGTGCAACAAGTTAGCTAGCTTTAGCTTAACTACTTGTAATACTTGTGTGAAAATTAAAATGCTAGCTAGCCACTTCAGGTTAGCTAACAAAGACACGCCGTAATCAGCACACGGCCTCACTCGACTAACGTTAGCCAGCTTGCTAGCAGTCGGTAGATTATTTGTCTCGACTCGTCGCAAAAATATATATATATATCTGTAGACAACCGATTGTTGTTGTACAACACACATTTACACCGTTTTCTTACCTAGCTATGTCTCCAATTCCTCGAATTTAAATGGTTAGATACTCCAGGAAAGCCTGCTGAATGGCAGTCGCCATCTTCCTAGGACGCCATGACAGTTTGGGGGACCCCGTAATCCCAGAATGCCCTGCTGGGCGGCAATTGCGAGCGGAAATTATCTCCATGGAAACTCAAAGGTGTCAAGCCCTCTGCATTAACCATAAAAATCATACATTTGGGGCCATAGAAATGTCAACTTTACCTAAACACTTTAGCTGAGACAAGTAGTAAGGTTTTTTTTCTCCACAACCCCAAGGGTTAACGTTAGTGCTATCACATATCCTTGGGACGTTCCTACCCTAAACCCTTGATTTAACCCTTACCTAACTCCAACCTTAACCCTTATGTAACCATTTTACATTTAAACTTCAATGGGGTAGGGATGTCCCAAGGATCTCTGATAGCAAGGACCCAGCTTGTAGTCCTAAAAAACGGAAATAATTGAGTTTTGGGATAAACGCCGAATAAAAGCTCTGAGGTTAATTTAGATTTAGGAGATCTTATACGGTTTGATCAATGAGATAATATCAGTCAGTTAACATGACCTTTATGAATTATGAAGCCTTAATGTGTTTTTTTAAATTACATAAATGCTTCAAATTTCACATAAGGTGACGTTAGCTGATTAAGCTTATTTTCTGCGTTTATCGAAAAACCCTACAAAATATCCATTCCTTTCCCCATATAGGCTTTGTCCAACGAACCAGTTAGTGCCTACAAAAAGATGCCATTACTGTTGCTTTCTATTGCATTGGGGCAGGGGGCAGAGTAAAAAGCTACGCAGCAGGTCGTGCTATACAGTCCCCCTCAAAAAGGAAATATTTGGTTAGTAGAGTAGAGACCCTACTGAGTATTCCACCCCACTTTGGCTGGGAAAGAAAGTACGTTTTTTTCTCGACAGCAACGTTCATTGGGGGCAATGGAGGGGGCTGGGTAAAAAGCCAGCAGCAGGCGGTGCAACACAGCCCCCCTAAAAACGAAACATACAGTGCCTTCAAAAAGTATTCACACCCCTTGAATTTTTCCACATGTTGTTGTGCTACAGCCTGAATTTAAAATAGATTACATAGAGTTTTTTTTCACTGGCCTACACACAATACCACATAATGTCAAAGTGGAATCAGGTTTTTAGAATGTTTTACAAATTGATAAAAAATGCAAAGCTGAAATGTCTTGAGTCAATAAGTATTCAACCCCTTCCTTATGGTAAGCCTAAAGAAGTTCAGGAGTAAAAATTCCCATAATAAGTTGCATGGACTCAATAATAGTGTTTAACATGATTTTTGAATGACTACCTCATCTCCATACCCCACACATATAATTATCTGTAAGGTCCCTCAGTCAAGCAGTACATTTCAAACACAGATTCAATCACAAAGACCAGGAATGTTTTCTAATGCCTCGCAAAGAAGGGCACCTATTGGTAGATGGGTAAACATTTAAAAAGCAGACATTGAATATCCCTTTGAGCATGGTGAAGTTATTAATTACACTTTGAAAGGTGTATAAATACACCCAGTCACTACAAAGATACAGGCGAAACTGCTCAGGGATTTCACCATGAGGCCAATGGTGACTAAAACAGTTACAGAGTAAATGGCCATGATATGAGAAAACTGAGGATGGATCAACAACATTATAGTTACTCCACAATACTATCGTAATTGACAGAGTGAAAAGAAGGACACCTGAACACAATAAAAATATTCCAAAACATGCATGCTGTTTGCAACAAGGCACTAAAGTAATACTGCAAAGAATGTGTCCTGAATACATTTACATTTACATTTTAGTCATTTAGCAGACGCTCTTATCCAGAGCGACTTACAGTTAGTGAGTGCATACATTTTCATACTGGCCCCCCTGGCCTCCCGTGGGAAATGAACCCACAACCCTGGCGTTGCAAGCGCCATGCTCTACCAACTGAGCTACACAGGGCCAAAGTGATACAGTGAAGGAAAAAAGTATTTGATCCCCTGCTGATTTTGTAAGTTTGCCCACTGACAAAGAAGTTATCAGTCTATAATTTTAAGGGTAGATTTATTTGAACAGTGAGAGACAGAATAACAACAAAAACATCCAGAAAAACGCATGTCAAAAATGTTATAAATTGATTTGCATTTTAATGAGGGAAATAAGTATTTGACCCCCTCTCAATCAGAAAGATTTCTGGCTCCCAGGTGTCTTTTATACAGGTAACGAGCTGAGATTAGGAGCACACTTTTAAAGGGAGTGCTCCTAATCTCAGTTTGTTACCTGTATAAAAGACACCTGTCCACAGAAGCAATCAATCAATCAGATTCCAAACTCTCCACCATGGCCAAGACCAAAGAGCTCTCCAAGGATGTCAGCGACAAGATTGTAGACCTACACAAGGCTGGAATGGGCTACAAGACCATCGCCAAGCAGCTTGGTGAGAAGGTGACAACAGTTGGTGCGATTATTCGCAAATGGAAGAAACACAAAATAACTGTCAATCTCCCTCGGCCTGGGACTCCATGCAAGATCTCACCTCGTGGAGTTGCAATGATCATGAGAACGGTGAGGAATCAGCCCAGAACTACACGGGAGGATCTTGTCAATGATCTCAAGGCAACTGGGACCATAGTCACCAAGAAAACAATTGGTAACACACTACGTCGTGAAGGACTGAAATCCTGCAGTGCCCGCAAGGTCCCCCTGCTCAAGAAAGCACATATACAGGGCCGTCTGAAGTTTGCCAATGAACATCTGAATGATTCAGAGGAGAACTGGGTGAAAGTGTTGTGGTCAGATGAGACCAAAATCGAGCTCTTTGGCATCAACTCAACTCGCCGTGTTTGGAGGAGGAGGAATGCTGCCTATGACCCCAAGAACACCATCCCCAACGTCAAACATGGAGGTGGAAACATTATGCTTTGGGGGTGTTTTTCTGCTAAGGGGACAGGACAACTTCACCGCATCAAAGGGACGATGGACGGGGCCATGTACCGTCAAATCTTGAGTGAGAACCTCCTTCCCTCAGCCAGGGCATTGAAAATGGGTCGTGGATGGGTATTCCAGCATGACAATGACGCAAAACACACAGCCAAGGCAACAAAGGAGTGGCTCAAGAAGAAGCACATTAAGGTCCTGGAGCGGCCTAGCCAGTCTCCAGACCTTAATCCCATAGAAAATCTGTGGAGGGAGCTGAAGGTTCGAGTTGCCAAACGTCAGCCTCGAAACCTTAATGACTTGAAGAAGATCTGCAAAGAGGAGTGGGACAAAATCCCTCCTGAGGTGTGTGCAAACCTGGTGGCCAACTACAAGAAACGTCTGACCTCTGTGATTGCCAACAAGGGTTTTGCCACCAAGTACTAAGTCATGTTTTGCCGAGGGGTCAAATACTCATTTCCCTCATTAAAATGCAAATCAATATATAAAATTTTTGACATGCGTTTTTCTGGAGTTTTTTGTTTGTTATTCTGTCTCTCACTGTTCAAATAAACCTACCATTAAAAGTATAGACTGATAATTTATTTGTCAGTGGGCAAACGTACAAAATCAGCAGGGGATAAAATACTTTTTTCCCTCACTGTATGTTTGGGGCAAACCCAATAAAACACATTAATGAGTGCCACTCTCCCTGGCGATGCACAGCGCTCTGGAGGTGGACGTGGACAGCGTTCCACGTCTCCTCTGCATGCCGAAACCAGTCGTCCACCACAGGAGCTTCGGTCTGGCTCGGATGCCACGGTGCCAGAACCGGCTGATACCCTAAGACACATTGAAAGGGAGTTAGGTTAGTGGAGGAGTGGCGGAGAGAGTTCTGGGCATTTTCGGCCCATGGCAAGAACACTGACCACTCCCCCGGCCGGTCCTGGCAGTAGGACCGTAGGAACCTACCCACATCCTGATTCACCCGTTCCACCTGCCCATCGTTCCAAGATGGCGTAGTAGTGCAGTTGTGTTTTTATCGTATGTCTGTAAATAGCCTGTAAATACCCTATTTTTCTGTATTTTTCGTACATATTTCCATATCAGACTTTTCATCCTTCTACAAAATATACTTTCCTGCAACCCGCCTCACTCAATGTGGAACGGATTCTATTATTGACTTACCTTTATCTAGAATCTAGAATCTCCAGTTGAAACTAGCTAGCCAGCTAGCCAGCTAACTAGCTACTTGCTATTAGCCTCAGCTAGCGGTATTTCACCCAGAACATTGGATTTTTTCTGCGGGATTAATTTTAATCACTGGACATT